ATAAATCATTATATTATATTTATATTTATATTATATTTATATTATATTTATATTATATATTTTATATTATATATTTATATTATATTTATATTATTATTATTTATACTTATAGCAATGTCCACCTTTGACAAAAAATTTCGATGACATTAAACACACAACATTAAGCGAACGTGGTGCATTAAAAGAAGCTGCACGTTGTTTAAAATGCGCAGATGCTCCTTGTCAAAAATCGTGTCCAACACAATTAGACATTAAATCTTTTATTACTTCTATTTCAAATAAAAATTATTATGGGGCAGCGAAAGCAATTTTATCTGATAATCCTCTTGGACTCACATGTGGTATGGTTTGTCCGACAAGTGACCTTTGCGTAGGAGGATGCAATTTGCACGCATCCGAAGAAGGACCTATCAATATCGGCGGTCTTCAACAATTTGCCACAGATGTAAAAAATTAATTCTTTGACTGTTTTTCGTTATATTAAATAACTTAATATATGAAAATAATTTTTTTTTTTTAGATCTTTAAACAAATGAACATATCTCAAACTAGAATTCCTGGACAAAATGTTTCACATGCAGATACTAAGATCGCCTTGCTTGGCTGTGGACCAGCTTCTTTGTCTTGTGCAACATTTCTTGCACGTTTAGGTTATAATAATGTAACAATTTTTGAGAAACAAAATTACATTGGTGGATTGAGCTCGTCAGAAATTCCACAATATCGGTTACCATATGATATTGTTAACTTTGAGATTGATCTTGTCAAAGATTTAGGAGTAAAGATTGAATTGGGTAAAGCATTATCTAAGGATAATTTAACAATACAGGTTGTTATATATAATGTTATAACTACAATTAATTAAGAATTCTAAATTAAATTAGTAATTACCAAATGTTAAAGATTATTTCATTTTAGGGTCTCCAAAATTCCGGATATAAAGCGATCTTTTTAGGAATCGGTCTTCCGGAAGCAAAAGTTATTCCAATTTTCTCAAATCTTACAGAAGAAATGGGTTTTTTTACATCAAAGAGTTTTTTACCAAAAGTAGCAAAAGGTAGTAAACCGGGAATGTGCGCATGTAAAAGAAATGAACTACCTTCTCTTCATGGTAAAGTTGTTGTCCTCGGAGCTGGAGATACAGCTTTCGATTGTGCTACTTCTGCTCTAAGATGTGGAGCAAAGAAAATTTATGTAGTTTTTAGAAAAGGATTTACTAATATTCGAGCTGTACCTGAAGAAGTAATTATCGCTATTATTTTAATTACCTTATTAGAAATATTCCTTCTTCTATTATTCTATATATAATATATTAATTATATAATACATAATTTATGTTCTTTTTTTTTTTTTTTTTATATAAAATATTAATTTTATAATAAATAATTTTTGTTTTTTTTTTTTTTTTTTTTAGTTTGATTTAGCAAAAGAAGAAAAATGTGAATTTATTCCTTTTCAATCACCGAAACAAGTAATTGTTCGAGACGGAAAAATAATTGCAATAGAATTTTATCGAACAGAGGAAAACGAAAATAATGAATGGATAGAAGATAAGGAACAAATTTGTAGATTAAAAGCTGATTTTGTAATATCTGCCTTCGGATCAGGATTGCAAGATCAAGACGGTAATAATTTTAATTATGTTAAGATTTTGTTTCTTCAAGGAAGATATTAAAAAGAATTGTATTTTTGTAAAAGTAATACAAGCTATGGTACCTATTAAAATGAATAAATGGAACTTACCGGAAGTAGATTCACAAACCATGAGCACTTCTATTCCCGGAATTTTTTGCGGTGGAGATCTTGCTGGAATTGCTCATACTACTGTTGAATCTGTAAATGATGGTAAAACTGCTGCATGGTATATTCATAAATTTATTCAGGTATATTTTTAAAAATTTAATAATTATTTATAAACAAAATATTTTAAACAATTTTTGTATTCTATATTTAATAGAATTCTTATAATCTGGAAGTACCTAAAATTCCTCAATTACCTAAATTTCATACCCCAATCGATGATGTTGATTTATCTATTGAAATATGTGGTTTAAAATTTGAAAATCCTTTCGGTCTTGCTTCTGCACCACCGACCACTTCTAGTACTATGATTAGACGAGCTTTTGAGGCTGGATGGGGTTTTGTAGTTACAAAAACATTTTCTTTGGATAAGGTAATTTATTTCTTATTTAAAATTTCTTATTTAATATTTTAATAAAATAATGTTTTAGGATCTTGTTACAAATGTGTCTCCACGAATAATTAAAGGTACAACTTCTCGACATCATTACGGTCCAGAACAGGGCAGTTTTTTAAATATTGAATTGATATCTGAAAAATCGGAAGCTTATTGGTGCAATAGTATTATAGAATTAAAAAAAGATTTTCCGACTAAGGTTTAAAGATAACATATACAGTTATATGAATTTGCTAAAATTTTTAAATCATTTGTGTTTATGAATGTATTTGACGATAATGAAAATTGAAATTTATTTTTAGATTCTTATTGCTAGTATTATGTGTTCATACAATAGAGCAGATTGGACAGAACTTTCTCAAAAAGCAGAAAGAGCTGGAGCTGATGCTTTAGAATTAAATTTATCTTGCCCTCATGGAATGGGAGAATCTGGAATGGGTTTGGCTTGCGGCCAGGTATATTTTTTATGATTATAAATATAATTTACTAATATTTCATTATCAATTTATCATAGACTTTTATATTAGGATCCTGTATTGGTAAGAAATATTTCAAGATGGATTCGGGAAGCTGTGAAGATACCATTCTTTGTGAAATTAACACCAAATATTACTGATATTGTTTCAATAGCTAAGGCAGCTTATGAAGGTATTCTTTTCATATATATATATAAATAATTAAAATATTTGTCAATAATAAATATTCAAAAAAAAAATTTTTATAATAGGTCATGCTAATGGAGTATCTGCCATAAATACTGTTCAAAGTTTAATGGGATTGCATGCGGACGCAACTCCATGGCCAGCTGTTGGAATTAAAAAAGCTACAACATATGGGGGTATGTCAGGTAATGCAACCAGACCTCAAGCCTTAAGGGCTGTTTCTGCCATTTCTAAAGCTCTTCCTGGATTTCCTATACTTGGAATTGGTGGTATTGAATCAGCAGATGTTGCTCTTCAATTTTTACATTGTGGTGCATCAGTTTTACAGGTAAGCTAGTCAATCATTTTAATTTCTTATAAATTTTTTTATACACAAT